GAAGGTTATCAAGTGGTGAGAACGAGTCGACTGAAGGAAAATGTGGGGGGGGGGGGGGTAGACTTACCATGATGCCTGGAACACAAATAGATAGAATAACGAATGTGGTGCTCGGTAAGCTGACTAATATCCGGATAAGCTCCAGGAAAATAGCCTTTGGAGAAATATATATATAATATATATATATTAAAACCTAGAAGAGGTACCACCTCTGGTGCAAGTGTAGGGACCCATAGTCTCGGAGAAGAAAATAAAGAGTACTCAGAGAAGACCTTGTGGATCCTCACTGAACACTGATATTTTCTTCTACCACCCCTATTCTTTTGGTATGTATGTATATTATATGTATGTATATTATATATAACTTACGTAAGACCCATCTTTGTATCTGCATCCCTAGAGAAGAGATCCAACCAAGAAAAGCACAAACTTTAAATTTGAGGAGACTTAGAGGAGGGGAAATATGGCAAGTGTGTGACAGGAGGTGGCGTGGAGCGCGCGAGCACTCGTGTGAAGCTTCAGCTCACACAAACACGCCTCACACATTATACATTCCTCTCTTGTGCTCCGTAATTTTCCTCGTCTTGTTTTGCTACGTTTTCCAGGGAACTTTGTTTACGTTTTTTTCCCCCTCAGTCACTGGAATATTAACATGTCCAGCCTGGGTGAACTTTAGTTGGATGATGTTAAGCTGGATTAATTTGCGTTAACTTAAGCTTGGTAAAATTGACCATGGAGCGTGCAGTTTTCCTTGTACAGATGACGAAACTTGACCTCGACAAAAACAATCCGAAAATAATAGCCAGTAAAGATATTAATTATATAAAAAGTGACTCTCAGAACTTTCAAGGTCAGTTGGCAGACAAACTAATATTTCTGTTTTATTGTGGAATATCAGTGTTCCACGTCACGCCCCTCAATCAATGGACAACTGCACAAGCCTTATGCATACAAGTATTTAATTTACACGATTTAAATAAGGTCGTTTATCACTCGAAATGATGATACTTTTAGCCATAAAATAATACGACAAATTAATGAGGAATACAGATATCAATGGTGCTCTGACTGGGACTCCGACTGGGGCTGCGACGGGGGCTCATATTCCTCGGTTTATTTCAGAGTTCGCTTTAATAGCTTGAGAGGAAATGTTGCTATTAAGTCCCACTCGTAACGTGTCGCAATATTACAGGAATTACGAGAGTGAAATGAATGATGAGCAAGGGGGGAGAGAGGCCATGGAAGTGGCTCTTCAGTGGGGTCTCGGGAGCTAATGGGTAAAAGTGGCCCTATCTGAGGGCCATGCTCGTGGCCCTGCCGGAGAGTGCCACAAGGGTAGCAAGAGTAGCATCACCAATCAGAAGGTGAAACGTTCCGGCAAGGAAAAGTAGTCTTGGTAAGGGGTCTTGTTATTGTGTTCCTTCTCGTCTCCATTCCTGCTAGACTTTAAGAACCCTTGACAGGGTCTGAAACCAGGACTATCCATAATCATGAGCGCTCAGGGCTATTCCTGCATTTCAGATCCTGCTAAGAGCTTCTACGGTTTAGCAGGACTGGAGGCGAGAAAGAATAAGGCATAAAGTTCTGCGAGTAATTGACAAAGTAGACAAAAAAAAATCGAACAAAGAACAGCAGAACCAGGGGGACACCAATGGAAACTTATTTCAGAAAGCTTCGCGAGTGCCATAGTTCTAAAAAAATGGGATATAATATAAAGATGGTTAAAACTAACCCAATAAAGTTTAAATCAATGTCATTAACGATTATATAGTTTGATTGATAGTTGCGTCCCTCGAGAGATAATATTTGACCCCACAAGCACCGTCCAGATCAGCTTGACTAGACGAATACATCACACGCACACCAGATTAATACAACGAGTAGTCACAGCCTCTTCTGTAAGAGATAACACCCCCCCCCCCCTCCACAATCGCCAGACTCTTGTGTAGCCCATAACATCACTTAATACACATCAAACAAGCTTTACAAGAGATTAGTGCCGTTTACGGCTGAAAATGTCCCGAACTAACTTTTTTAATGGCATGGCTTAAGAAGTTAGGGATGGGGGGTGACCAAGGGAAGGTGGGGGAGGCAGTGACGTTGGGGGTGATCAGAGGGTAGAATAGGGTGGTGGGGGTGGAACAGAAGGTATCTTAAAGATAATGTTGATGGAGGGGAGAAGAAAGTTAACAGGAGACAAAGATCAATCAGACTATGCCACTTCTTCCATCACTCCCCGTTAACAACTCCATCCTCTGCATGTCTGTATGCTCTGTGTATCCCCAGTACCCCTCGCCCGTGCATGCTCTGTGTACCTCCTACCTCTCGCCACTCCCCCCTGCCTGTCTGCTCTCCTCCCCCTGTCCTTTGTCGACTTAGCATAACTCGCAAGAGTATTTTCAAATGAATTTAGCGTCTGATCGTCTGTCGTATTTATCGGAATTGGCGACCCGTTCCCGGGAAACCTCACTCAACCATATGATGGCCGGACCTCCATTATAAATACATTATCATATACATAGCGAGAGAGCAGGGGGGGGGAAGGGGCTAGTTGCAGACGTGCATGGGGTGGGTGAAGGCAGAACCCCCGTGTGTGTGTGTGTATATATATATATATATATATATATATATATATATATATATATATATATATATATATATATATATATATATATATATATATATATATATATATATATATAAATGTGCACTTATACATATATGAGGTTGAGACAGGGTCCTTTGTTGCTGAAGGAGGCTTACCAGAAATGAGAGGGAGAAAAACAGTAGCCGATCATTATGCAATGAGCAATAAGTAGTGTTGACTACAATGTTCACGAAAGACCATTACGAGAGTAGACTTCAGTTTTAGACGACGTATTCCACCTGGTACTTAGGACTTTTTTGTAATGGGGTAGTTGGCTTTGATGTTGGGTTTAATAATCCTCCTGCGCTTGATAGCCCTTATGAACGAAGGCCACCACATTGCCTTACTGACCAACCTACACGGATACTTTACTCTGGAACGTGATTCAGAACTAAAGTAAACTTTCAGTGTATGGAGAGTGAGAAGAGATAAGCCTCTGTATGCACCTTTTTTGAGGTAGGAGGTGAGGCCCGATGGCTGGAGGTCAACATGACATGTTTATGTGGACGGGAGGAGACGAGAAACGCTTGGCTTTACATAATCCTGCAGCTGATAACTGTATTGAATTTTGTTCAACTGACTCGCCACACTTTTGGCCTTTTACAGTTTTTAAGTACATTTTGAATGTGGACGAGGGATGTTGGATGATTGAGGAGTGTGGGGGCGAAAAGCGAGGGGTATAGGATCAAAGGAAGGCTTTCCTGGAAATCCCCCGGCTTAACAATCATCTATAATTCTATACATCTCCTGCGCGACTACATTACCCTCTGCCAATACTGGTTGGCTTCCCCTCTCCACTTTCTGCCCACCCAACACACCCACCCCACGCCCATTCCCCCACTCCCCTCCCCTTCCCCCGCCCTGAACCCTGCGATACACCCTCACATATCTTCTGCCTTCCTGATGAAGTGAACCTCAGACCCGTATTACCGAGCCGTGATTCCTGCAGCATTGTCGGCTGGACTGGCAGCGTGGGCCCCGGCCAGGGGGTGAGGCATGCCGGAGAGTCCATGATAATATTCAGAGGGCCTGGAAAGGAATTGTTGGTGGGAAGATGTATGCGTGGAGGTAGAGGAGAGGGAGGAGAGAGAGCAGGGAGGCGGCATCATGTGTAGAGGCGCTACACTGCCACATATCTAATAACATGATCATAACCCCATCCAGCAGTCTCTCGACATAGAGTTGTACCTCTGGAGGCAACACATATTAATCTGCTACTAATGCTGAAACACCAAGACACAATTTCGCGTCTTAGCGAGGCCTGAGGAGCTCTGGCAACAATTATCTTGCTGCGATATTTTTAATTGCAAGGAGTTGTAATCAAGGCTTCCCCGGATTAGGTTGCTTTGCTGGCAAAGTAACGTATTAACTCTTAGCTTGACACGTTCGAAGCCCCGAAAAGCATAAAGCTGGCATCCTCAAATGCCAACGATATGACATTTCTTTAATACATTATTTATATCACATCCCAGAAGGATTCGAACCCAGACAGCCAGGAGCACTATTCACCATGGCGTACCCGGTTCTTTAACCACTCAACCAACCGTGACTGTACAAAAGACATTGGTAGCCGAGGCTACTTCCTCCAACATCCGACAAAACTTTGTGGTAAGCTTGGGCATAGATATTTCATCATATCACTTCATTTTGTGGGGCCACCTGAGCAACACAAACGCCATGGCGCATAGTGCTCCTGGCTGTCTGGGCTCGAATCCTTCTGGGTTGTGGAGGTTTCAGTTGCATATTGGCTTGGGGACCATTCAAGCTTGTTCGCATATATATGCAATTGACGATCACGAAACACTGATCATTTGTGTACGGAAAATCCACAGAAATGGCAAAAGGAAGATGAACGTTTCAACCGATCAAAGCCGTTGTCAACACCAGACTGTTGTTGACAACGGCTTTGATCAGCCGAAACGTTCATCTTCCTTTTCCATTTCTCTGTGGATTTTCCGCATACATATATAATATTAGTGCGTATGAATGTGGGGATGGGGGGGGGGGATTAAAATAAAGTATAAAAAATATTTGCTAAAGCACTTCTGGTTTATCACACAACACATTATTCTGACTTTGACATTCAAAATCAGTCTCAGTAGACTCGACAGCAATCAGGCAACCAGTGCCGGCGTTAACATTAATCTAACAATAAGTTACCGAAACTATATACGTTTCCCTCACAAAACTGGACTGGCAAAGTCAATACTCCTTGCAAAAGTCAAGAGTCCCAATTGACTTTAAAAAATCACAAAAGAAAACAGTCACTTAACTAATTTTTTTGCCTTTTACAAGGCAAAAATTATAGACACTGATGATTTAAATTCAAATCAACAAATAATCATTTGCTTACCTTATCCGAAAAAAAAGCAGTTACTCATGGCTACCTCAGCAGAGCTTTTCTCTGGTGTCGACTATGTACTTCAGACCAGTGAAGGCAAGAGGCTTGTCCCCCCTACAGGTCAACTACGCCGTACCAACTTATAACAACACCTAATACCCTCTCAAAGTACTCAAAAGAACAACTTAAATAGACCTGCATAATGAACTTAAAAAACTAGAACATACGCAGGTGTTCTTCGCATATAATAATAATACCAACATATAACTTTAATTTAATAAACATTAGGCCACTCCCGCAGGGTTGGCTGCTCTCAAATACGAAACACGAACACACAAACAACAGACACTGACCAGCGCTTCACACAACGTCATTCAAACAAGCAGTTCACAGACACCCACAATAATACATCAAAAGTGTAATTACAGACACAATACATATATACACCCACAAAGTGTATAACAATACATAACAATAGCGCCTGAAGGAACTGAACCTTACGACACCGGAAAAAAGGGAAAGGGGCGGATATGATAGGAACATAAAATACTCGGGGGGGATTGACAAAGTGGATACAGACGACATGTTCACACGGAATACTAACAGAACGAGGAGACATGGGTGGAAGCTGCAAACTCAGATGAGTCACAGAGATGTTAGGACGTTTTATTTTAACGTTTGAGTAGTGAAAAAATTGAATGCACTTAAGGAGCAGGTTGTGGAAGCAAACTCTATTCATAAGTTTAAAACTAGATATGATAGGGAAATAGGAAGGGAATCATTGCTCTGAACAACCGATGGCTAGAAAGAAGCTGTGGGGCGCCAGCTGACTGAGGCGGAGGTCAGCAATATGGCGGCGGCTGGTGGTGGCCGCATCCGCCGTGTGAATACTGCTCGGCTGGAGTTCTCTGCACCGGTGGATTGGGAACTAGTGGCGGCTGCGCTTTTGGATGTCCTTCAGGTGGATGTTAAAGATCTCCTTGGTCTCGAGAAATTTTCTCCCACTCGCGTGGCGGTGACGTTTGCCACGTCACCTGGATACGAGCGGTTTGTGGGGTGTTGGAACGAGCGGACGACTCCCCTTCCTCATTCGGCTGTGTCTGTGACTGTCTCTGATCCGTGGGGTCCACTGACCTTTGTGAGCGTGCACGGGGTACCTGTTACGTTTCCAGAGGTGGAGCTTTCTTCTGTGTTTACGAGGTATGGTATGGTGTTGCGTCATCGGTACAACTTGTTTAGTGCCGGGCGGCTGCGGGGCCTCCGGCTGGGTACTCGCACGCTGCATATGCGCCTCAAGGAGCCCATCCCCTCCAAGGTTATGTGCTGTGGTCTTCCGTTCCGGGTTTTCTATCCAGGGCAGGCCCGCACGTGCTTCCGCTGTGGGGAGGAGGGCCATGACGCTGCCCAGTGTGAGATTCCTCGACTGGAGACTGCTTCTGTGTTCAGTGTGGGGGATTTTCCCCCCCTCCGTGAGGATGGTGCATCCCTGGCTGGTCCTCGGCGTGGGGGTGTGAATGGTGGGGCACCTGTGACTGTTGTGCCTGGTGGTGCACCTGCGACTGTTGTGCCTGGTGGTGCACCTGCGACTGGTGTGCCTGGTGGTGCACCTGCGACTGTTGTGCCTGGTGGTGCACCTGCGACTGTTGTGCCTGGTGGTGCACCTGCGACTGTTGTGCCTGGTGGTGCACCTGCGACTGCTGTGCCTGGTGGTGCACCTGCGACTGCTGTGCCTGGTGGTGCACCTGCGACTGCTGTGCCTGGTGGTGCACCTGCGACTGCTGTGCCTGGTGGTGCACCTGCGACTGCTGTGCCTGGTGGTGCACCTGCGTCTGCTGTGCCTGGTGGTGCACCTGCGTCTGCTGTGCCTGGTGGTGCACTTGCGACTGCTGTGCCTGGTGGTGCACCTGCGACTGCTGTACCTGGTGGTGCACCTGCGACTGCTGTGCCTGGTGGTGCACCTGCGACTGCTGTGCCTGGTGGTGCACCTGCGACTGCTGTGCCTGGTGGTGCACCTGCGGCTGTTGTGCCTGGTGGTGCACCTGCGACTGCTGTGCCTGCTGGTTCGTCTGTGCCTATCGTGTCTTCTGTGCCAGCTGTGGTGGAGGACGTGGCTGCTCCTGATTCCCGTCTTCTCCTTCCGGTGGATGTGGAGGTGCATCCTGTTCCTGGTGCTTCGTTGGTGAATGGGCGAGGTGTTGGGAGTGTCGTCTCGGTGCCTCCCGTTGTAGGCGATGCTTTCACTGAGGGTGATGGGAGCGTCGTCGTTGGTGCCGGCGTTCCTGTTGCATGCATTGCGAGTCCGCCTTCTGCTCCCCCTGCGGGTGCGTGCCATGAGGGGGCGTTGACCTCCCATGCTCCTCGCCGGAAGCGCGTTGCGGGGGCGCGCTCACGCAGTCGCGAGCCCCCTGGCAAACGGATTGAGGCTTCGCGGAGTTGTGCCTTGGGTGGTGCCCCCCCTCCTCCTCCTAATTCTCCTGTGTCTGATATGGATTCCGGAAGTGATGCAGTGCCGGTTGGCAGCAAGAATTCCTCGTCGGTGGTGGACGTTGGTGATACCTGGTCAGTGGCAGCGGGGTCTCGGCGTGCTTCGCTGGGTGATGCCGGCACTGTCCGCCTCCTGCGGGATCAGAGGCCAGGCATTAGGGTGGATTCCCCGACGGTGGAACGGCGGCAGTTTGAGCCTCAGGATGCTGACGGCGCCTCTGCAGTGGGTGGCTCTGTGCCCTCTGGTGGTCCTGGAGGGGCTGGGGGTCATTAATGGGTTCGATGGCGCCTGCTATTGTTTGTGCGTCTTTGAATGTTCGTGGTCTGAATGCTTTGGCGGTCCAATTGGGCCTTGTGGATGTGCTTCGGGAGCAGCGGGTGGATGTGGCTCTGATCCAAGAGCACAATGTTCGGGATGTGTCTGTGTTGCAGGGGTTGTGTGCTGAGTATCATGTTGTGCTGAACCCGCCGAGGACGTCCTTTGGGGGAACGCTGATGTTGTTTTCGCGGAGGGCATCCATTTCCGTGCTTCACACGGAAATGGATGAAGATGGGCGGGTCTTGTTTGTTCGGGCTGAGTATTTGGGGGTTGTGATTCCGTTCTTGACAGTGTACGCCCCTTCTGGGGTGGCGCATCGTCAGGACCGGGAGCTGTTTTTTCGGGAGGGGCTTTTGCCATACCTGCGGCATGATACGCGGGATTTGATCTTTGGGGGGGATTTTAATTGTGTTACGTGTGTGAGGGATTGCTCTAGTGCTCACCCTCGGAATGTTTCGGCCGCTTTAATTGAGGTTTTGCGTGCGTGCGGGTTTCGCGATGCGGCTGTTTTGTGTGGCGGCTCGTTGGAGTATACCTTCGCTGCGCGTGGGGCGAGTTCTAGGTTGGATAGGTTCTATGTTTCTGGTGGGGAGTGTTCGGTTTTTGATTTTCGCACGGTCCCGGTGGCTTTCTCGGATCATTGTATGGTGGTTGTACGGGTTGGTGTCCGGAGTCAGGTGCGGGTGGGGCCTGGGTGGTGGAAACTCAATTGTCGGTTATTGCGTTGTCCACGTATTTGTGCGCAGTTTCGGGCCTGGTGGGTTGGCATCGTTGCCCGGAAGGCTGATTTCTCCTCTTTGTTCGTTTGGTGGGAGTGGTGTAAGGTGGAGTGTCGGAGGTTTTTTGGGATTGTTGCTAAGCGGGAGGCTGCCGGGAGGTTTGGTCTGCTGCGGTTCCTTCAGGCGCGTTTGTCTTCTTTATATGTGCGGTTGAATGCTGGGGTTGACTGCTTTAGTGAGATTGCTGAGTGTAAGGAGCGTATTTGTGATTTGCGTGCGGTGTTGGCTGACGGTGTTCGCGTGCGTGCTCGTGTAGCTGAGCGGGTGGATGGGGAGAGGCTCTCTCCCTTTCTTTTAGGGAGGGAGAAGGCTGCTAGGGGTTCCGTTCTTCTCCAGGGCCTTCGGCGGCCTGATGGGTCTGTGCTTTCTAGCACAGAGGGTGTTCTGCTTACCGCACGGCGGGAGTTGGAGGCCCTCTATGGGGAGGTGCATGGTGATAGTGTGCTCGCGGGTTCCTTTTTGGACAGGTGCTTCCCCGGTTTGTCGCGCTCGGAGTGTGCCCGGTTGGTGCGGGATGTTTCCACGGTGGAGCTCCTGGAGGTGGTTCGGTCGTTTCGTTCTGGGAGAGTGCCGGGTGCGGATGGCCTGCCCATTGAGTTCTACCTTACCTTTTGGGATGTGCTGGGGGGGGTGCTTTTGGAAGTGGTGCAGGCGTGTTTGCGTTTGGGTGCTCTGCCTGATTCCTTCTGTGACGGGATCGTGCGGCTACTCCCGAAGCCGGGTGATTTGCAGTTGTTTTCCAATTGGAGGCCTATTACGCTCTTAAATGTTGATTATAAAATTCTTTCTAAGGTTTTAGCGCGTCGATGTCGGGGTGTCGTTGCGTCGGTGGTCTCTATGGAGCAATTTTGTGGTGTGCCTGGCCGTGCCCTGATGCATTGCAATGCCTTACTTCGTGACGTGCTTCTCTATGCGTCCGAGTATCGGCTTTCGGCGGCTATGATCAGCTTGGACTGGTCCAAGGCCTTTGATCGGGTGTCTTTAGAGTTTGTTTTTAGTGCTATGGAGAGGCTTGGGTTTCCGGTGGTGTTTGTGGGGTGGATCCGTTTGTTGTATGTCCGGAGTCGCAGTCGCGTTTGTGTGAATGGGTTTTTTAGCTCATTTTTTCCTATTTGCCGTTCCGTTCGTCAGGGGTGTCCCATGTCCATGCTTTTGTATGTGATTTTTCAGGAACCTCTTTTTCGGGCGGTGAAAGCGTGTTCCTTGATCGTGCCTCCTTGTCTACCGTCCGGTCTCCGGCTACCCGTTTGCGGGTATGCTGACGACACCATTCTATTTGTAGCTTCGGAGGGTTCTGTTGAAGCTGTCCAGGACGTTCTCCTGCGGTTTGAGTCCGCTACGGGGGCCGTTCTCAATCGGGCGAAGTCGGGGTTGATGGGGATCGGTGAGTGGGCCTCCCGCCTGGTGTGGGATAGGTCGTGGTTTCCGGTGGTCTCCTCGATTCGGGTTCTTGGGATTACTTGGTTTGCCTCCTATG